TAGCATCCGTTGTTACATTTGAGTCAAAAAAAATTTTTTTGCTCCTGGGCAGATTTTTTTCTGACCCCGGCATCACGCGTTTTCTTCCTCTGGGAGCAAAAACACTCGATTTTTAAAAACAGCTAATAATAACATTTTTAAGCATGGAATTCCACCCCGAACCACATTCTAGCATCCGTTGTTACATTTGAGTCAAAAAAAATTTTTTTGCTCCTGGGCAGATTTTTTTCTGACCCCGGCATCACGCGTTTTCTTCCTCTGGGAGCAAAAACACTCGATTTTTAAAAACACCTAATAACAACATTTTTAAGCATGGAATTCCACCCGAACCACATTCTAGCATCCGTTGTTACATTTGAGTCAAAAAAAATTTTTTGCTCCTGGGCAGATTTTTTTCTGACCCCGGCATCACGCGTTTTCTTCCTCTGGGAGCAAAAACACTCGATTTTTAAAAACACCTAATAATAACATTTTTAAGCATGGAATTCCACCCCGAACCACATTCTAGCATCCGTTGTTACATTTGAGTCAAAAAAATTTTTTTTGCTCCTGGGCAGATTTTTTTCTGACCCCGGCATCACGCGTTTTCTTCCTCTGGGAGCAAAAACACTCGATTTTTAAAAACAGCTAATAATAACATTTTTAAGCATGGAATTCCACCCCGAACCACATTCTAGCATCCGTTGTTACATTTGAGTCAAAAAAATTTTTTTGCTCCTGGGCAGATTTTTTTCTGACCCCGGCATCACGCGTTTTCTTCCTCTGGGAGCAAAAACACTCGATTTTTAAAAACAGCTAATAATAACATTTTTAAGCATGGAATTCCACCCCGAACCACATTCTAGCATCCGTTGTTACATTTGAGTCAAAAAAAATTTTTTGCTCCTGGGCAGATTTTTTTCTGACCCCGGCATCACGCGTTTTCTTCCTCGGGAGCAAAAACACTCGATTTTTAAAAACAGCTAATAACAACATTTTTAAGCATGGAATTCCACCCCGAACCACATTCTAGCATCCGTTGTTACATTTGAGTCAAAAAAAATTTTTTGGTCCTGGGCAGATTTTTTTCTGACCCCGGCATCACGCGTTTTCTTCCTCTGGGAGCAAAAACACTCGATTTTTAAAAACACCTAATAATAACATTTTTAAGCATGGAATTCCACCCCGAACCACATTCTAGCATCCGTTGTTACATTTGAGTCAAAAAAAATTTTTTTGCTCCTGGGCAGATTTTTTTCTGACCCCGGCATCACGCGTTTTCTTCCTCTGGGAGCAAAAACACTCGATTTTTAAAAACACCTAATAATAACATTTTTAAGCATGGAATTCCACCCCGAACCACATTCTAGCATCCGTTGTTACATTTGAGTCAAAAAAATTTTTTTTGCTCCTGGGCAGATTTTTTTCTGACCCCGGCATCACGCGTTTTCTTCCTCTGGGAGCAAAAACACTCGATTTTTAAAAACAGCTAATAATAACATTTTTAAGCATGGAATTCCACCCCGAACCACATTCTAGCATCCGTTGTTACATTTGAGTCAAAAAAATTTTTTTTGGTCCTGGGCAGATTTTTTTCTGACCCCGGCATCACGCGTTTTCTTCCTCTGGGAGCAAAAACACTCGATTTTTAAAAACACCTAATAATAACATTTTTAAGCATGGAATTCCACCCCGAACCACATTCTAGCATCCGTTGTTACATTTGAGTCAAAAAAAATTTTTTTGCTCCTGGGCAGATTTTTTTCTGACCCCGGCATCACGCGTTTTCTTCCTCTGGGAGCAAAAACACTCGATTTTTAAAAACAGCTAATAATAACATTTTTAAGCATGGAATTCCACCCCGAACCACATTCTAGCATCCGTTGTTACATTTGAGTCAAAAAAAATTTTTTGGTCCTGGGCAGATTTTTTTCTGACCCCGGCATCACGCGTTTTCTTCCTCTGGGAGCAAAAACACTCGATTTTTAAAAACACCTAATAACAACATTTTTAAGCATGGAATTCCACCCCGAACCACATTCTAGCATCCGTTGTTACATTTGAGTCAAAAAAAATTTTTTGCTCCTGGGCAGATTTTTTTCTGACCCCGGCATCACGCGTTTTCTTCCTCGGGAGCAAAAACACTCGATTTTTAAAAACAGCTAATAATAACATTTTTAAGCATGGAATTCCACCCCGAACCACATTCTAGCATCCGTTGTTACATTTGAGTCAAAAAAAATTTTTTTGCTCCTGGGCAGATTTTTTTCTGACCCCGGCATCACGCGTTTTCTTCCTCGGGCAGCAAAAACACTCGATTTTTAAAAACAGCTAATAATAACATTTTTAAGCATGGAATTCCACCCCGAACCACATTCTAGCATCCGTTGTTACATTTGAGTCAAAAAAAATTTTTTTGCTCCTGGGCAGATTTTTTTCTGACCCCGGCATCACGCGTTTTCTTCCTCTGGGAGCAAAAACACTCGATTTTTAAAAACAGCTAATAATAACATTTTTAAGCATGGAATTCCACCCCGAACCACATTCTAGCATCCGTTGTTACATTTGAGTCAAAAAAAATTTTTTTGCTCCTGGGCAGATTTTTTTCTGACCCCGGCATCACGCGTTTTCTTCCTCTGGGAGCAAAAACACTCGATTTTTAAAAACACCTAATAACAACATTTTTAAGCATGGAATTCCACCCCGAACCACATTCTAGCATCCGTTGTTACATTTGAGAAAAAAAATTTTTTGCTCCTGGGCAGATTTTTTTCTGACCCCGGCATCACGCGTTTTTTCCTCGGGAGCAAAAACACTCGATTTTTAAAAACAGCTAATAATAACATTTTTAAGCATGGAATTCCACCCCGAACCACATTCTAGCATCCGTTTTTCATTTGAGAAAAAAAAAATTTTTTGCTCCTGGGCAGATTTTTTTCTGACCCCGGCATCACGCGTTTTCTTCCTCTGGGAGGAAAAACACTCGATTTTTAAAAACACCTAATAACAACATTTTTAAGCATGGAATTCCACCCCGAACCACATTCTAGCATCCGTTGTTACATTTGAGTCAAAAAAAATTTTTTGCTCCTGGGCAGATTTTTTTCTGACCCCGGCATCACGCGTTTTCTTCCTCTGGGAGCAAAAACACTCGATTTTTAAAAACACCTAATAACAACATTTTTAAGCATGGAATTCCACCCCGAACCACATTCTAGCATCCGTTGTTACATTTGAGTCAAAAAAAATTTTTTGGTCCTGGGCAGATTTTTTTCTGACCCCGGCATCACGCGTTTTCTTCCTCGGGAGCAAAAACACTCGATTTTTAAAAACAGCTAATAATAACATTTTTAAGCATGGAATTCCACCCCGAACCACATTCTAGCATCCGTTGTTACATTTGAGTCAAAAAAAAATTTTTTGGTCCTGGGCAGATTTTTTTCTGACCCCGGCATCACGCGTTTTCTTCCTCTGGGAGCAAAAACACTCGATTTTTAAAAACACCTAATAATAACATTTTTAAGCATGGAATTCCACCCCGAACCACATTCTAGCATCCGTTGTTACATTTGAGTCAAAAAAAAATTTTTTCGTCCTGGGCAGATTTTTTTCTGACCCCGGCATCACGCGTTTTCTTCCTCTCGGAGCAAAAACACTCGATTTTTAAAAACACCTAATAATAACATTTTTAAGCATGGAATTCCACCCCGAACCCATTCTAGCATCCGTTGTTACATTTGAGTCAAAAAAATTTTTTTTGGTCCTGGGCAGATTTTTTTCTGACCCCGGCATCACGCGTTTTCTTCCTCTGGGAGCAAAAACACTCGATTTTTAAAAACAGCTAACAATAACATTTTTAAGCATGGAATTCCACCCCGATCCACATTCTAGCATCCGTTGTTACATTTGAGTCAAAAAAAATTTTTTTGCTCCTGGGCAGATTTTTTTTTGACCCCGGCATCACGCGTTTTCTTCCTCTGGGAGCAAAAACACTAGATTTTTAAAAACACCTAATAACAACATTTTTAAGCATGGAATTCCACCCCGAACCACATTCTAGCATCCGTTGTTACATTTGAGTCAAAAAAATTTTTTTGGTCCTGGGCAGATTTTTTTCTGACCCCGGCATCACGCGTTTTCTTCCTCGGGAGCAAAAACACTCGATTTTTAAAAACAGCTAATAATAACATTTTTAAGCATGGAATTCCACCCCGATCCACATTCTAGCATCCGTTGTTACATTTGAGTCAAAAAAAATTTTTTTGCTCCTGGGCAGATTTTTTTTTGACCCCGGCATCACGCGTTTTCTTCCTCTGGGAGCAAAAACACTCGATTTTTAAAAACACCTAATAACAACATTTTTAAGCATGGAATTCCACCCCGAACCACATTCTAGCATCCGTTGTTACATTTGAGTCAAAAAAAAATTTTTTGCTCCTGGGCAGATTTTTTTTTGACCCCGGCATCACGCGTTTTCTTCCTCTGGGAGCAAAAACACTCGATTTTTAAAAACAGCTAATAATAACATTTTTAAGCATGGAATTCCACCCCAAATCACATTCTAGCATCCATTATTACATTTGAGTCAAAAAAAATTTTTTGCTCCTGGGCAGATTTTTTTCTGACCCCGGCATCACGCGTTTTCTTCCTCTCGGAGCAAAAACACTCGATTTTTAAAAACACCTAATAACAACATTTTTAAGCATGGAATTCCACCCCGAACCACATTCTAGCATCCGTTGTTACATTTGAGTCAAAAAAAAATTTTTTGGGTCCTGGGCAGCTTTTTTTCTGACCCCGGCATCAGGCGTTTTCTTCCTCCGGCAGCAAAAACACTCGATTTTTAAAAACAGCTAGTAATAACATTTTTAAGCATGGAATTCCACCCCGATTCACATCCTAGCATCCGTTATCAAATTTGACTTTTTTTTTTTTGCTGGTGCTGCCGAAGAAATGAGTCGTTAAGTCAAGGTCAGTTTCCAAACAGATCTGCTAAAACACCAATCCAACATTGTGAGGTATGCATTTAAGCATTCAGATTTATTTACACAACACAAATCAAACAATAATGCAAAAACTGTTGCAAGGAAGTTAATAGTTCTCTTTCCTCCATCCCCCCAGACCCCTTCTAGTGCCTGTTTGATAGCAGAAAAGCTCACGTCTCGTCTTCGCTCAGCAACATGTTCGGTATGCCCTTAGTAATGGGAAATTCCCGTCCAGTATCTGGACATTTCAGAATACCTTCGATCACCTCCACCTAAACAATGAAAAAAGGAATCAGTGTGGAAGGAAGGGAGGGAGGAAAAAAAGATATAAAGAAAGGAGAAAGGAAAGAAAGAAAAGGAGGAAAGAAGGAACGGAGACAGAAAAAGAGGAAAGGACAGGAGGAATAGAAAGAAAAGGAAAGAAGGAAAGGAAAGGAAAAAGGAAAGGAGGGAGGGAGGGAGGAAGGAAGACAGAAAAAGAGGAATGGAGGAATAGAAAGAAAAGGAAAAAAGGAAAGGAAAAAGGAAAGGAGAGGGAGGGAGGAAGGAAGACAGAAAAAAGAGGGAAGGAAAGGAGGGAGGGAGGAAGACAAGAAAGGAAAGGAGGAATGGAAAGAAAAGGAAAGAAGGAAAGGAAAGGAGGGAGGGAGGAAGGAAGGGAGAAAAAAGAAAGGAAAGGAGAAAGGAAAGTAAGAATATATAGAAAAGGAAAGAAGGGAAGGAGGGAGGAAGGAAGGAAGATAGAAAAAAGAGGAAAAGAAAAGGAGAAAGGAGAAGAAAGGAAAGAAGAAAAGGAAAGGAAAGGAAAAGGAAGGAAGATGAGAGGGTGGAAGAAATAGAGGGAAGGAAGGGAGGGAGGAAAGGAAAGGAAAAGAACAAGCTGCTGTTTTGGGACAAATGAGATTCTCCTGACATGGCTGGATGTGTTCCGTGAATTAAGGGAGAATGAAATGGTTTCAAACCTCCATCAAGACATGATGGACTTTCCGAAGAAAATCTTCATTTTTCTCGTAGTCGGGGATAAGCTCGGAAGGAAGGTCGGAGCGGTGACCCAGCTGAAAAGGAAGGAAGATCAGCTGTCATTTTCAACCGCTGGCTGTGATTGTCTCCTACCAATAAGCTTCCAAGGGCCACCTGGCTTTCCCTAACCTGCCATACACATGTGCCCTGGGCAACTTGCAAGAAAAGAAATATAAAAAAGATGCCCACATTTGAAAAAAAATGCAAGACAGGGTTAATAACCCCCAGCTGCCTAGAGGAAGAAGGAAGAGCTGGAGCCCCTTTTCTCCTTCTGCACCCCAATACCGGCCAAGGAACTTACACTTTCGGCAGCGCCCACCAGAGCTGCCCATTCAATTTTGGGCACCATCCGTGCCGTGAACTCTGGGTTGAAATCGATATCGTTCACCTTCACCTCCGTAGCCTGTGGGCACAAAACAAAGAAAGGTCAGTCTAAGGATATCCTAAAAACAAGGATTATGGTCCAATTAATTAATAGAGAATAGAATAGAACAGAATAAGTAGATAATAAAATAAAGAATAGAATAGAATAAAAAAAATAATAAAATAGATAAGATAATAATATAATAGAATAATAGAATAGAATAGAATAATAGAATAGAATAGAATAATAGAATAGATAATACAATAGAATAAGAAGTAGATAATAGAATAGAGAATAGAGAATAGAGAGTAGAATAGAATAGAATAGAATAGAATAGAATAGAATAGAATAGAATAGAATAGAATAGAATAGAATTCTTTATTGGCCAAATGTGATTGGACATACAAGGAATTTGTCTTAGGTGTATATGCACCTAAAACGTAAGTAAATAAGGAGAATAAAATACATTCATCAAGAATAAAAAGATACAAACACTGAATATAATAGAATAGAATAAAATAGAATAGAATAGAATAGAACAGAATAGAACAGAACAGAATTCTTTATTGGCCAAATGTGATTGGACACACAAGGAATTTTTCTTGGTGCATTAGTGATAGTCAAGGTCACTAATAAACTATCAAATCGTACCAGGAAACAAATAAAAACAATATAAATTGAAAGATACAAGCAACAGGGTTATAGTCATAAGTGGGAAGAGAGAGATACTAGGAAGGAAGAGAATAATAATAATAATAATAATAATAATATAATAATAATAATAATAATAATGTCTTAGTAAATTATTTGACAGTGTTGTGGGAATTAGTTATTAAGCAGAGTGATGGCTTTTGGGAAATGGCTATAGAAATCGAACCAAATAAACAAACAAACAAGCAGCCAGGCAGGGGATGATGGGATCACAAAGCAGGATGCTGCACAGTTCCTTTGCTTTAAATTGGGAGCCTCCCATGTCAGGTTTAGGACTACCAGACCCATCTTTAAAGAGCCAGTTCGGTTTCTCTCTCCCTCCCTCTCTCTCTCTCTCTCTCTCTCTCTCTCTTTTTTTTCTTTCTTTCTGCTCAATCTCAGAAACCTTAAAGGAGGGGTGGGGGGGAAGCTGGGGATGATGGGAGTTGTAAAGATAAGGATAAGGATAATTTTATTTCTATACCGCCCCAGTCCCGAAGGCCTCGGGGCGGTGTACAGCCAGGTAAAAACACAATACAAATATCACAATTTCAATTTTAAAAAATTATTAAAAAGTATTACATTTAAGGCCAATTAACTTAAAAAATCCAGTGCAGCAGGAGAATGCAAAACTGGGGCGGGGGAGGGGAGGGAGGAGGGATTGTTTGACTGGGCTGGGTGATGGGAGTCGGAGTGCAGCCCCTAACAGGCCTTAAATGATGGGCTATGTAGTCCACAGCCTGCTGGGAAGCATGGGTTGGGTGGGTGGGAGGGGGAGGGGGGCGTTTTGCCATCCTCGCTTACCTTTATGAGAAGGGGGAACCCTCCCCCGGGCCGCACGCCCCGCACGTGCGAAGTGAGCATGTTGTGGGTCAGGAGTTTCATGTTTTTTTTCGGTCCACCGGGCGAGCAAAAGACACGTGCAAAAGGGGGGGGAAGAAATCCCTATCGGACCGCTTCCGGTTTGGGGGGGTAAACAAACGCCGCTGGGTTTTTCCGCTCACTTCCGTCGCACTTGTGCAACGCTCGCTTGGGTCCTCCCGGGAAACGCGACCCGCGTGCAACATGGTTCCGGGCGCTGCCAAGCCCCTAAATCAGTGTTTCTCAACCTTGGTAGCTTGAAGATGGGTGGACTTCAACTCCCACAATCCCCCAGCCAGCAGCGCTGGCTGGGGGATTCTGGGAGTTGAAGTCCACCCATCTTCAAGCTTCCAAGGTTGAGAAACACTGCCCTAAATGGGTTGTTGTTTTTTTTGTTTTGCGAAAAGCGGGAGGATTCGCATTCGGGACCAGCGATGGGTGCGGAGGCTACTACCTTTCCCCAGCAGAAGGACTTTGGGCCAGCAATTCTCGCTCTCAGCCCAATCTACTACGGCCTACAAACTTTTTGAAAAAATTTAAATTTGTCACCATTTCATGTATGAATAACCATGTTTCTATCTATATCCGTTATCTAAGACACGCATGACAACATAAATGATATAAAATAAAAAATTAAGAATAAAAAAAAAAACGTTTAAAAATCCACCTCACAAGGTTGTTGTGCGGAAGAGAGGAGGCAGAAGAAACCTTATATACTGCATGTTCGCCGCCTTGAGTTATTTCTACAAATAATAAAGGCAGGATAGAAATAAATTTTTAAAAAAACTGTGTATAATGCTCTTTCCTCCTATTTTCTCACCAACAACAACCCTGAAAGGTAGGTTGGACCAGTAAATTGGTCCAACCTACCAGTAAACTTGCCCAGTGGATTCTGAAAAATAAAAAAAAAAGCCACATGTGCGGGCAAACCCGGCTGGAACAAACATCTGCCCATTTTTTTTTTGTCCGATAGAAAGTCCTCGAGTTATAACCACAACTGACCCTATAATTCCTGTTGCCAAGACAAGACAGTTGTTAAGTGGGTTTGTCCCGCAGTTTAGGCCTTTACTTGCTACAGTGGTTAAGTGGTTAAGAGCCTTGGTAGTACAGTGGTGTAAGGCGCCCTGTTATTAAGCTGGTTATTAAGACCAGCTGCCTGCAATTACTGCAGGTTCGAATCTCGCCAAGGCTCAAGGTTGACTCAGCCTTCCATCCTTTCTAAAGTAGGTAAATTGAGGACCCAGTTTGTGGGGCAATAAACTGACTTTGTATAAATATACAAAAGGATGAAGGCTATCGCTTAGCGCATTGTAAGCCGCCCTGAGTCTCCGGAGAGGGTGGCATATAAGTCAAATTGAAAATTGAAAAAATAAATAAATTAAAATTAAAGTCATTTGCTGCAATTGCTAAGTTAGTCACCCGGTTGTTAAGTGATCTTGGACTACAAGCCCCATCAAGCTGTACCTGCAAAGGCTAGGAATGGGAGGATTTGACAAGATGCCGAGCGACGCATCATTAAATCATTTTTTTTATAAAAAAAGGGACCAAGCTTGCAACGATTTCTGTATTTATTTACATCCCAAATAATTGCAATTCCCAAAACGGATGCATTGCAATGCCTAGCCTGATCTATTGCAATCCCCAATTATTATTATTTTTTGCAATATATATATATATATATATATATATGTATATGTATATATGTATATATTATTTATTTATTTTTGTGTGTGTGTGTGTGTGTGTGTGTGTGTGTGTGTGTGTGTATAGCGCTTCTACCCTTTTAAGGATATATCCACAATTACATGGGAAGAAACCCGAAATATTAACTTTACACACATACATACCCGTGAAAACTTACATAAACATATATATATATATACCCCTAGTTGTTAAGTGATCTTGGACTACAAGCCCCATCAAGCTGTACCTGCAAAGGCTAGGAATGGGAGGATTTGACAAGATGCCGAGCGAAGCATCATTAAATAATTTTTTTTAAAAAAAAGGGACCAAGCTTGCAACGATTTCTGTATTTATTTACATCCCAAATAATTGCAATTCCCAAAACGGATGCATTGCAATGCCTAGCCTGATCTATTGCAATCCCCAATTATTATTATTTTTTGCAAAATATCTATATCTATATCTATCTATCTATCTATCTATCTATCTATCTATCTATCTATCTTTGCAAATCAATAAATCAATCATGTTTAAGACTATAATACAATAAAATAATTGCACCCCTCAGCTTTTCTCTTCCTCCCAGCCACCCCCCCCCCCACCCCCACGGGAAGCAAAACCTCGAGGCGCGTGCACGGTCGGGGGACGCGCGCGCAAAGGAAGCCCCGGGCGCCAGAGAGCGGCCCCAGAAAAACTTCAAAAGGTTGCGCGTTGCCATGGCTGCCGTCACTCACGGGATTTCCATGGCAACGGGGTGGAACCGGACGGGGGCGCTGGGGCGAGCCTGTTGGGGACCCGGGGCGGCTTCCCTGCTTGCGAATCGCGGGGGGACCCGGCGGGCCTTTGCTTCGGGAGCCGCGGCCATGGCGGCCCTTAAGGTGAGTGCAAAAATAAAAAAAATAATAATAATCATTCAAACAATCCGTGCAAAGGGGCATTTTTTTGCTGATGGTGCAATTTGCACGCTTTTTTTTTTTTTAGGAAGGGGGGGGTTGCTTGATTTGCAAACAGCTGCGTGCATTGCACCCCCCCCCCGTGCAATGCCCTCCAAAGAGGGTTAGGAAGCAAAGTCCTCCCTCCTTTTGCAAAGTCACCGTCGTGCAAGGGGTCAGTGCAAAAGGAGATGGTTAATCGTGTCATTTGCACGCTTGCGGGGGTGGGGGTGGTGTGGGGGGTTCGCCTCCTGATGTGCCAACAGCTGGGTGCAATGACCTTGAACTGGTCTTAGTCACCCCCCTCCCCACGTGCAAGGAAGCCCTTCAAAGGGACACACTGTTAATGGTGCAATTTGCACTTTTGGAGGGGGTGTTTTCTCCTCATCTGTCAACAGCTGGGTGCAGGGACCCCCCCCAAAAAAAAAACAAGGGTGCTGATTCAGTGCTAAATGATAAGCATGCCATACTTGATTTGATGAAATGCTGGTTATTAAAACCAGCTGCCTGCAATTACTGCGAGTTCGAATCTCGCCAGGCTCAAGGTCGACTCAGCCTTCCATCCTTTCTAAGGTGGGTAAATTGAGGACCCAGTTTGTGGGGGCAATAAGCTGACTTTGTATAAATATACAAAAGGATGAAGGCTGTTGCTTAGCGCATTGTAAGCCGCCCTGAGTCTCCGGAGAAGGGCGGCATATAAATCAAATTAAAAAAAAATAAAAAATGCCAGGATGTTGTATAAACTGGGTTTTGCAAAGCTTGCCGTATGTTGGCTACTCGGCGGAGCTAAGCCAGCATGTCGCTTCGTTCCTTTCTTGACCTATAGAACAACTGACATTCCGTCCTCACGAACCCAACCTGTTTCCAAATGCAACCTGTCGTTTACAGAGAGGCAAGTCCTCGGCTTACAAACGGCTCTTCGATTGACCGAAGTTACCAACGGCGCTGAAAAAAAAGGGGCTTACGACACTTTTTCCACAGTTAGCGACCGTTGCGGCGTTCCCCAGGGTCAAAATTCAGGCGCTTGGCAACTGACCCGTATTTATGACGGTTGTAGTGGGAGGGGAGGAAGGGGGGGTCACGTGATCCCTTTTTGCGACCTTCTGAGGAGCAAAGCCGACGGGGGGAAGCCGGATTCGCTTAACGGCCATGTGGCTCACTTAACAACGGAAGCGATTCCCTTAACAATTGTGGCCCAGAACGATTGTAAAAATGGGGCAAGGCTCACTTAACGAATGTTTCACTTAACAGCCACATAAATTTTATTATTTATTTATTTATTTATTATATTTCTATACCGCCTTTCTCCTGTAGGACTCAAGGCGGTGTACAGTCAAGAAAAATATAGACACACAAACATCATAAAATTGCTAATTAAAATTATTACTTAGTTTGGTCAATTAAATAAATAAATTGAGGAGGAGGGGGGCCTTCAATTGTGGTCGTAAGTCCAGGACCAGCTGTAGAAAGGAAGAGAGTATAAACAGAACAGAAGTTGTCCGGGGGGGGGGCTGTCATGTGATCCCCTTATGCAACCTGATAGGCAAGGCATGCTGACAGGGGAATTCTGGGAATTGAAGTCAGGCGCTGCTTTCTTTTGACAGGTTGGGGACAAGCTGCCCAGTGTGGAGGTCTACGAAGGAGACCCTTCCAACAAAGTGAACCTGTCCAGCCTCTTCAAGGGGAAAAAGGGCATTCTTTTTGGGGTGCCGGGTGCCTTCACCCCCGGTTGTTCCAAAGTGAGTAAGAATCTTATTTTAAGAATCCTCCAGAATTGGAAATTTGAAGTCGGAGGCAGAGGGTGGGTGGGACTACATGATCTCCCAGGTCCCTTCCAACTTGTTACCGATACCGTTCCAGAGAGCACTATAAAACTCAAAACAAAGTTTTGAGCCTTGGTAGTACAGGGGGTTAAGGCACCCTGTTATTAAGCTGGTTATTAAGACCAGCTGCCTGCAATTACTGCAGGGTTCGAATCTCGCCAAGGCTCAAGGTTGACTCAGCCTTCCATCCTTTCTAAGGTCGGTGAAATGAGGACTCAGTTTGTGGGGGCAATAAGCTGACTTTGTATAAAATATACAAAAGAATGAAGGCTATTGCTTAGCGCATTGTAAGCCGCCCTGAGTCTCCGGAGAAGGGCGGCATTTAAATCAAATTTAAAAAAAAACAAAAAAAAGTTTTGAGGACTTTCATAACTGTAGCCCTTGACTTAACAACAGCTTTGTTTAGTGGCTGTTGAAAGTTACACTTGCAGCAAACAAGATTGTAAAACCGGGCTTAACGACTGCATAGCAATAGACGTTCCAGTCCTAATTGCGGTCATTAATTTGAGGAATACCCGAATCTTGTTTCCAGCTATGTAATACTCAAAAGAGGACACTGCATAAAGAAACTTTACAAGCAGTCCTCGACTTAACGACAGTTCGTGTGGTGGCCTGGGAAGTGACAACGGTATTGAAATAAAGTGACTTTAACGA